CTACCGGAAGGAGCAAACGAGGAATTGACCAGGATATCATATGGAGACTTGAGGTGTTGGTAAAACAGGTGGGTCGAGATGAGGTGTTGCCAATTGGTATAGTTATAGGTCGGTAGATGAGGAGATGTGGGTGCTATATGAGTTGCAGCTGAAGCTATCTCTAGGAAGTGCTGGCGGAGCAAGTGATAGGCAAGTGATGGGCAAGTGGCTTTCCCTCCGATTATCGCTGCTGGCTACAGCTGATATAGATGAGGTGCCTGGGTCTTGCTCGTGGTCTTCATACACACTGTAGGCATGTGCTGGAAGCCAGGAGCAGGAATATCAACGCCCGGTCTGGTAGTAAAGAGTACTGTACAGTATGTACATACATCTAACCTCGTGCGAATCGAGTCAAAAGTGGTAGTTGCAACTCAGGCCCTTAACTCCGCAAGCGTCTTGCTTAGACGCAACTCAATGCCTCAGAACTCTATGCTCGAAATCGAAGAGACCGTTAGGCCAATTATCCTAACTGAGTAAAGCATGGATCATGGGCGTGACACACACTACAGCCACAATCTTCTCCATTTTTCACCGCAGCCGAAAATGGCACTGACCATATAGGAAGATCTACGCAGGCTATGCACTTGATACTCCAATGGTTGCATGAGCTTACTCTTTGGCTAAACCTGGCTCGGTAGTTCAACAGATGATAAACGCTGACCGAACTCGCTTCTAGGCTCGAAAATGGAAGTGCCTATCGTCACAGACACCCCTACGGTATTTTGCAGATGCAACAAATGGGTCAACACTGTTGATTGATCGAGTGATATAGCGAGAAGGCAGAGAACCGAATGATATGACCCCCGCATCAACAACCCAAGCCTCGCCTTTCCCAGGCCGATGCCACACTGTACAAAGCCGCCCGACGCGATTAAAATAAACAATAAAAATGAAGATCGACCGACGGAATCGCCAAGCTTGAAACGCCCACTCATCAAATGCAAAAGACGACCAACAACTGTACAGTCCAGAGCCGCGCCGCTGTCGCAACCCAAAAGAAACGAGAACGAATGATACAGCGCGGATGCGTAGTGGCCACAATCGCGCATGGAAGAATTTACACGACAACGTGTTTATATGACTCATAGATCAAGAACGGTAGACACCTGGAAGCCAAGAGCTGTTAGCCCACTCCTCACAAGCGGTTTTGAGGGGGATGTAGTCACATACCAGGGTACGATTGCGGTGCTTGCCCTGCCCCGAGCCCACGAGGGAAGGGAATTTGCGAGATGGAACTAGGTATATCGACCCTGCGGATGAGATCGACCATTTTCTCCGGAGAGAACCGCCCGGCGTTGTACGCAGAAGCTGGAGGAATCATACTCAGGAGGCTGACAATGTCTCGGGGAAGAGGAGCGGGTGACCCCTGGGATCTGAACTGGGATTGATTGCCCATAGGGCGCTTCTGGTCCATCTGGCGTCTCTGCGTGGTCTTGAGAGGAGACTCAGCCCGGACGAACTTGCGTGGGCGGCCCATGTCGTCGTCGAACTCCTCCAACTGCCGCTTGGGCGAATTCGTAATAGAAGGATCCGGGAATCGAGAGTTGGGAGTGCCGTGACGAGACACCATCTGGTCCGCCGCGTACGCCGCCTTGGGTCTGGTCTGGGAGGGTGAAATGATGGGATGCACGGCTGTGGGGTCGAAAGCCGGGGTCGAGAACCGGTGGGCGAATTGCTCCAATGTTGGGTCTTCGGGAAACAATTCACGCATACGGGTTTCGAGGTTGATGACTTGGACGAGGTCGCCATACCGCGACTCATACTCATGAAGGAAGGCAAAGATAGGCTTGGTCTTGTGCACATTCTCCGGGTTAGAGGCCAACTTCCTCACGGTCATCTCAAAGACCGCTCTAGCATCTGGCACGGTGAATATCAGTATCATTCCTCAAAGGCTTCTGGGGATTAAAAGAAAAAAAAAAAAAAAAAAAAAAAAAAAAAAAAAACTTACTGATGATATCGTTGATGTCGATGAGATGCTTCAAGTACTCCAAAGCGAAGTTCTCGTCCTCCGGGAAAAGCTTGGCACCTCGTTCGAAAATCTTGGTAGCGGCAGGGTCCTTATAACAATGATATTCTATAAGAGCACTCGCTATATAAACATCACTCGTGATGCGACCGCGCTTCCGGGCATCTTGGAAGATCGATCTCGACCCTGGTATCTCGTTGAGCTTGCCCTTACCCTGGATACGGCGCATCGCGCGCATGAGAGCAATCCAGGCGAACGAAACGGTCTTGGAGAGGATACCTATTTGTATCGCATGTGCATTCCGGACGGCTTCGATCTGGGATTTCTTGACAGAGTCCCTCGCCTTCACCTCCTGCAGATCTTCGTCATCATCGTTCTTCGACGGCGGCTTCTCAGGTTGCATCTTGGCGAAAGTTTCTTCCAGGCGAGCAACATCCTGATCTTCGCGGGTGCGAGCCTTGGCAATCAGCTCGTAGAGCGAATCAAGCAGTCTGTCGTAAGGTTCTCTGACTTTGGCACCGCGCACGATGGGGTCCTGTTCCGACTCAGTAGTGATTTCCAGCCGGTCAGCACGCTTGAATGCGAGCAAGCAGCTCTCCGGATTCGCGTCTATGCCGTGCTTCAGGAAATCATTTCCTTCATTTTCTAAATCATGATGGAAACAGAATTCGGCTGCTTCGAACCACATTTCGGGCAAGAATCTGAGGGCCATGAGAGCTTGTTTGTAGACATAGATCACCCGGGCTTTGAAGGTCGTGGGATCGTCTTCCTTCAGCACAAGTGGGTCGTCCTTCTCCCATTTGATCCATTTTTTCCAGATCTCCACCTGTTGCGCATACTCGACGTCCCCGTCAGAGCCAGGCACAGGCGGCATTCTGGGCAGTGACGTACGAAGGAGTCCCTGCGTGATGTGCTGCAGCTCATGATAAGCGGTGCGAGCGGTTACAAAGGCCGGCGATTGTTCCTGAACAAATTTGAAGCCCTATACGAATTGAACGTGAGCCTGACAATCTACCAAATCCAAAAACACCTGGGAAAACTTACCGTCATCTTGTTCAGTGACTTTTCAAACTGATCATACTGGTTCCAGAGTGTGCTGGTTTCCTGATTGGGGACGCAGATGGCCTTATGGTAGGCCTTGCGGAGCAAGTCCATCTTCTGTTGATCTTGCCATCCAGACCCTCCAGCATTTCCAGGGCTCGAGCGAATAAATTGAATATACTCGGCATAGATGGCTCCAGCGTCCTTATCGACGCCGACATGTTGAAAGGCTAGATCATAAGCCGCAGTGATGATTCTCCTTGCCTGGCCCGTGGTATCTGTTGTCAAGGGATTCCGCCGACGAACATAATCCAGATATACGGTCCAAAGTCGGACATCGGGAATGGTCAAAAGGGTCCGGCTGAAGATCTGTTCTAAACGGAAGAGCTCATTGAGCTCCGCTTCCATATTCGCATATGCGACCCATTGTTCGGCCTAGGACGCGGTTAGCCGACAGAGTCATGCTGGCGAGTGAATCCAGTGATACTCACCGAGAAAGGAAACACTTTTAAGAAGCGTTCATAGACGTCGCGGGCATTGTCGATCCTATTGCGGCTTCTGTGTTCGTTAATCAACTCCAGCCAGGAAGGCATATCACCTCGAGGGTCCTCCTTGATCCTGTCCTCCAGAATACCAATGCGATCGTGAGGCAGGCGACCCTTGGACGTGGAAGGAGATTCCGGCTGGGGAGTAGCTGCATTGCTCTCCTGTGCGCTGTCCGGCGGTAGAGTACGCGTGTTGTACAACTCCTGGCCCGAAGCCACAGACGCATCATTTTTAGAAGCAGCAGGTAAAGAGCTATTAGGGACATTCTTGACGCTGGCAGACTCCTGCGCAGGCTCATCCAATGATACATCAGGGGTAGAAGTAGCTTCATTTGCATTTCCTGAAATGGGTTGCGAAGGTATAGTATTCATGTCCTCGACACCTAGTACAGCCGGCGGCTCATAATCATCTGCATCACCCGCATCATCCTCATCCTCATCCTCAACCACAAACCCCCCAATCGTCCTGGTCTTGGGCGGAACAGAAGCCCCAGTGGCAAGGCCAGATGTTGATGCCTGAGACTCAGCTCGGGAAGGTGTTTGGGAAGGGTAGGTATTGCCAGCTTGCTGACTAGGGTCTGTTTCGGGGGCAAGGGAGGAAGAAGACGAAGAAGAGGTCTGGTCTGGTGGAGGGGTGGAATTGGAAGGAGGAGCAACGGAAGGAACATTTTCAGTTTGCTTGGAATCTGTCACGGAAACCGAATACTGATCTGGCAGTGTTTTTGAAGGGTCATAATCATCTGAATCTGAACTATCTGCACTTTGCTCTTCAACAGCCTTATAGTCCACAGAGTCCGCATTCATTGCCTGAGCCTGGAAAAAGGCGTTCTCAGCATCATCTTCAGCCATGACAAAAGGATGTGGTCTCGCTCGCGATAAGGGTCAAAGGTTCAGACTACCTGTGAAGAGTGGCGGGTTAGCGACTGGACGTTGGGAAAGAGGGGAAAGAGATCGAGATGACTCTTAGGGAATCATACGGAGAAGGGTGTATGTGTGTGTCAAGCGGGCGGTGCTGCCAACTGCCTGCCAACCCAGAGTAATCTGGAAAAGACAAAGGATTGACACAAGTCTTCTGGTTTGGAGCTTCAGAGGGGAACCGAGGTACAAAGAATAAAAGAGAAAAGCTGCAAGCGAGTATCGTTCGGACAATAAGAGAAACCCTCCTGGTGGATCTCACAGGTATCACACCGATGGGATGAGGTGCAGTTGCAGTGGACTCTGGGCTGGAGCTTGTGGCAGAAGCTGCGGTTGTCACGCATTGGGCGGTAGTGAGCACGTGATGCATTGTAGGCGGTGAGCGCGAAAGATGCGTCGCCCGCCGCCCACACGCGCCCGGCGGCGCGTCGCCGATCCTTCTTTGCGGATGTTTAATTGACTGCCAATTTAGTTGGTTCTGTAGTTAGTTGTCGGCCTTAGCACTACTACTACCACAACCATAACAACCACCACCACACCATTAGGTACAGTACAGACAATACTGGCTGGCGGTCTCGCCTCCATTTATCCCTCCAATTCTCCTCCCCACTTCTCTTTCTCTTTCTCTCTCCCCCTCCCCTCTGTCTCCCTCTCTCCACCCTCCCTTCCTTTCCCAAATAAAACTAGAGTCATTCCTCTAGCACTTTGTTTGTTTCTCTCTCACCTTTCATAAATCCTTTCCCAAACTCACCACCCTTTCATCCGATAATTTCCTACTTATACCCAAGCCCTCCGTTAAGGCTTCACAACCGCCGTTCCATACCACCATGTCGGTCGTCTCTCTCCTCGGAGTCAAGATTGTCAACAATCCCGCCCCCTTCACAGCGCCCTACCAATTCGAGATCACCTTTGAATGTCTTGAACAACTTCAAAAAGGTAAAAATTTCCCTCCATTATCTACAAGTTCAGCCGCTAAACCTTTCCATCAACTAGATCTGGAGTGGAAGCTCACCTACGTCGGTTCTGCCACCTCGTAAGCCCGCCCTCCCCCAGTGCCACCCATTCCAATACTCCCCCCCCCGATCTCTAACCCTCGGCTTCCAGCTCCGAATATGACCAAGAACTCGACTCCCTACTCGTGGGCCCCATCCCCGTGGGCGTCAACAAGTTCATCTTCGAAGCCGACCCGCCAGACCTCAAGCGCATCCCCACCTCAGAGATCCTGGGCGTCACCGTCATCCTCCTCACCTGCAGCTACGATGGCCGGGAGTTCGTCCGGGTGGGATACTACGTGAACAACGAGTACGATTCGGAGGAGCTCACCGCGGACCCGCCTGCCAAGCCCATCATCGAGCGCATCCGTCGCAACATCCTGGCGGAAAAGCCCCGTGTCACTCGATTTGCGATCAAGTGGTAAGTTGTTTCATGACGCATAAACCCTTAACCCGGGCTCGCCGTTAATGTTTCCGTGCCAGGGACTCGGAGGAATCCGCCCCCGCCGAATACCCCCCCGACCAGCCGGATGCCGACCTCGTCGACGATAGCAACACCTACGGAGCGGAGGAGGCCGAGCTGGAGGCCGCCCTCGTCAAGGAGCTCGAGGAGGCGGAGCGCACGGATCCCTCTCGCGGCGAGGACCAGGATATGGAAGGTGGGGAGGCCACCGCCGGGGACGAGGAGGACATCTCCGACGCGGAGAGTGAAGACATCGAGGACGAGAGCGACGATGACGACGAGGAGCTCGACGAGGAAGAGGGCGGCGACGGCGACGAGGACATCGAGATGGGCGATGACTCGGAACCCAAAGACGAGGCGGCCGGCGGCGCCAGCAACAACCCCACCACCCACCATCAGCCGGAACTGATGGTTCACTAAATTCATTTCCTGTTGCTTTGAACCATTCTGACCGAACTGTGTGTGAGTGCGTGTGGGCTTGGGCGTGAGAGTCGTTGGTATATTCTGTTTTTATTTCCAACTTGGTATTCTTCGAAATGATTTTACGACTGGGTTTGCGACATGCTTCGTCTTCTTCTTCTTCTTCTTCTTTCATGATACATTCTATCCTATCATATTCCCTTCCAAACCAAAGAAGGTTCCGCAGTATCTATTGACATAAGAAGAACCAAATCATAATTTGACCTTCCGGACAATTTATACTTCCTCAAGAACTCCCTTTCAATCACCTCTGAACCCAGCCCTTCCAGACCCCAAAAAATCCGAATGCAATTCAACCCTGTACTGACTGTACATTCCTTCCACCGGAAATAAAACAAAACCCGCTTCAACAGAAAAGCAAGGAGAAGATCAACGGGGGCTACGTACTGTACCCGTGGCAACTCCTCGACCCCTGACATCGGAACCACGCAAGGCTGAAAGGGGGGGGGGGGGGGGGTTCTTAAACCTCAGTGCTGTACCGTAGATAGATTAGCTAATAGAGCTTCATTTCCTGTGTATGTGAATAGTACAATAAAGTACCCGTAGAATTGATTAAGCTACCCCCGCCGTCAACTTATCGCCGAGGCTTCTAGCGGTAAGGAATTTCACTACCTTGGGAGATTGATGCCAGTCTCTCGGTCAATCGCATGGAAAGCAGTATGAAAAAACTCGAATGAAAGGAAAGGGTTGGGCGGGATGTGCGGTGAGAGTGGGTTGTGAATTGTATGGAGAAGTGAAGACGGTGGGTATGTAAGTAAGGGTACAGTACTCTGGAAGGCAGTGCGTTTCCACCGTAGTATGCTATGCAGGTAGCTGGCAATCACCGAAGGAAAGACGTTCTTGCTGATACTCTATGTGGCATTCGTGCTTGAGGCAGAATCGGACGGGAAAGTGGAAGCGTGGGCCAAGCTGTATAGTAGTCTGTCCGTTGTAAGATTCTTCGGTTGTCGGAGTGCATGCGACTCTGGTTTCAGAAATATTTGGGACATGTGTGGTCGGACGCAAATCCGCTAGGATAGGTACAATGCTTAGTATGTTCGATGCAATACATAAGCTTCTCAGCAACATTTGAAAGTCATCTACTCATGAAACTGTTCCTTGCGGCCAAGGAACACAAACATCAACCAACGCCGACAAAATCTGGGTATGAATACGTAGAGCCCAATATCAGGTTATTGGGAAGCACATTTCCTTTCTCAAAGGGTGAATTTGACGACCAGGAAAGCGGTTTAGAGACCGAATTTGGAACTGAGGGCTGTGGTTTGTCAGTTTGACCCAGCATATTCTCAGATCAAGATGTGTACATACCGCCCATCACAGCCTTCCGCTTCTGGGTCTGGACGAATTTGTTGACGTCTCGAGCCCAGTTGCTGCTGCTCTCTTCCAACCGTTCCATCTGGTCACCAGCTAAATTGAGTCGGTCTGTACGCTCTGTGACCTGACGCTGCATGTAGGACCAGTATCCCTCCTGGTTGCCTGAGTTTGAGGACTGGTTTGTGTTTGTCCTGCCTTCTCTGAATGCCTTTCGACGCTCCTGTTCGTCTAACCGCATCTGTTCCTGCATGCGCTTTGAGGGTGGGCGATCGGGACCACCGACTGGGAGATGCTGTTAGTTTGTCAATCCCGAGGTAGGGCTATAAGGGTAAACTCACTCAGTAAGTCCATGTCGGCCGGCGAGATGTACTGCGTGCCGGAGATCCACTGGATATTCGTGATCGTTGGTCGTGGTGGAACGACTGCCTGAGGATTGTACAATTGGTCCTCAGAAGGTCGGCTGTAATATAGATTAATAACCTGTGTACCGAGAAAATATGCGCTCGGGTCGACTCACAGGCCAGTTCCTGCTCCCCAGACATTGAACAACCCCACTTCTGAAGGACTTGTCCAGACCATGACGGTACCATTAGAGGAGACACTAGCATCGGCAAGTCGTCTCATGTTGGCGATTTGATTGATTGGGCTGCAACCGATCTCTTTGAGACCGGGGATAGAGAATGCCCGTGTGTTTCCGTCGCCAAAAAGACCAACAAGGCTATAGCCACGGCCCTCAATCTTCACTATTGTAGCTGAATCACAAAGATAATCGTCCCAAGACCTATGAGCGCCCTTAGATGTCGCAGGCTTGAAAATCCGACACCCTGACACGGTCACGGCAACCACTACTCCATTCACCCTGATACCGTTGCGGAGGCCTCCAACAGCGTTGGGAGAAGCCGAAGCAGGATTACCGCTATCAGCGTTGATGGGAATGATGTTGATGACCTTATCATCCAGTAAAGTCGCACCAGCAAAGACTGCCGAGTAGGTACCATTTTCCGCTGGCAAGATCTTAAAAGTCGCCAAATTACCTTTACTGGTACCTACAAAGCAGCAGATACTTGAGTAGTCTAGAAGAACAATCAGTCATCCAAGCGCTCGTGAACTGTTTCTGAAAACGGCTTACCTTCTCCTTCGAGCGTAAGCACACCGAATTCGATACAGGTGGGCCACTCTGGAGAGGGAGACTCGGAGCTGCGCTGCTTGAAGAAGCTGCTCCTCTTGTTTGCCTTCAGCAACTCCGAAAATTGGGCTGTATGGATGATCGCCGGCCCACGCAAGTCAATAATTGCTAGGCTTCCGCTCTCGAAACCGACCGCGACAAAACCGACCTGGCTGTGCTTCAAAGCAGTCACCGGCCCATGTTGCATGTTGAGGAGAGTGAGGGGAAGAACGCCTTGCTTGAGCCCAGGATCAACCCGGTGAGTGATCGAGGTCAACTTACCGGGCCCTTCGTTGGCACCTGGGGGCTGCTCACTACCGAAGTTCTTGTTGCTTCCCCAGCGGAAGACAACAAGCTCACCAGTTCTGAGACCTACAGACAGCTCACCCGTTGAACCACTTAAAGACATCTCGGTGACTTCGACGTTGCCCACACGACCTACTGCGCGGGCCAAGTCCACTTGTATGATCTCTCCGTTTTCAACTTCGTCATCAATGCCTCCGTCCCAGATACGAATAGTGCCATCCGCATGGGCGGTGGTGATGATGTTTCGGTCTTCAAAGCGTTTAAGTGCTTTCTTGGCCTCTGCGCCGCCCAAGAGAAACTTAGGCCCTTGTGACCTACGTTCTTTCAAGCCCAACCAAGCAGAGCGATCAACTGCGGTTAATGTTGCCTTGGTCACAAACGGGTGCACGAAAGACAGGTATGGATGAAGCATATTTGTAGGTGTGATTGGGTGTCCAGTCGGGAAGCTCATGGTGATCAGTTCTCCTGAGGACAGGCGGGCAATCAGGGCAATGGGGTCATGGGCGCCGCCAAAATAAGGAGTGCTGCGTGGGATAGGGCAAAAGTCAACCACCTCGCCTCCGGGAGGGGTGGGTAGGACCGAGACACGCCTTGGAGATTCGAAGTATTTCGAAATCATAGGCCAAGTAGACGTTTGATAGTTGGGAGTAGGACCCAGATCCAAGAAGGTAAGGCCCTTGAGGGACTCGGCCTTCGGCCGACCACCAGCAATCAAAAGCCCACTGTCATCACCGTTATCCTTGACACACCACGCAACGTGCGTGATCGGATCCTTGAATCCAGGGGCTCCCGCCGAAGAAGGCCTTTCGGGGCTTACGCCTGGCTGATCAACATTGGGGGTGTCAATGGACCGAGCCATCACCTTGCGGCCGTCCTTCGAGTCCCAGAAAACCAGACTGTTGTCGTCATGAACAGTCAAAACGAAGATACCATTCGGGTGCCAAAGTGCCTGGGTCAACCTGGGTCTGCGCAAGTCCGAGATCGGTACCTCCGCATTCCCACCCAGCGCGCCTGGAGGCACTTCATATTCGAAGTATTTCTGTGCGACGTTTTGTTTGAAAGAGAAGGTCACTGCGCCATCCGGATACCCGACCAAGATCTTGCCAATGTCACGAGGAGAAAAGGCGAGACTAATGACCGGGCACATCCGCGTCCGGGCATTGCGTTGAGCCCACAGATTCGGCACTCTGAAGGGCGTCAAAGTTTCACGATCCAGATCGTATGCAATAATATCGCCTGGTATATGTTATCAGAAAAGGAATCACGTGAATCCTAGCGCGGAGGCCGTACCATTCTGCAACCCAATAAAAGCATAGTCGAGACTCGGATCGGTCAATAACGCACTCGCATGACTCGGGGGAGCGTACGAAACTAATGTTTTGCCGGTCTCAAGGGAGAAGATTGTGATTTCACTTTTCGAGTCGACACTAACGAGCTTGTCGGCGCAGAACTGAATGTGTTTCGCAGAGGCTTTGCGAGGCAACGAGAAGACGACCGATACGCGCCGTTGACCGAAGATGTAGATCTGACCATGTCCAAACTGCGTATCACTGGTTCCGACTGCAAGGAGGGACTGAATCGGATCGTAGGCAATAGCACTGACTTGGGAGTTGATACCGCAGCGAGCGAACTGGTAGATTGACAACGATTTGTTAGCATATACGATTCAATAGTGTAAAAATATCAGTAGGCTTTAGTGGTGGGAAATGTGGAGGGTATATCCGGCACAGACGTACATCATCGAGAGCGAACAGGTCCGGCGACAACCCTTCGGAAAAGTCCTTCTGGATGCCGGCCTGTTTCCCTCGCAGGAAGTGCGCCATTCTCCTAGAGGCGAATTGTCGAGAATGGGCAGAGAATCTTGAACGTGGGATAGAGATAGGATATAGAATAGAAATAAACAGGAACAAAGACCAGCGGTGACCCCACGGAAGTAGGATCAAGTCAAGCGCAAGGTCATTACCGCGGGGAAGAAAAGCAAAGGTTCAAGGTTGACTGACGGCATTAAGGCTGGCTGGCTGATTGATTGTTGATTGCCTTATGGGCGGCGGTCCGGGGCGGGGCAAACTGGACCACCCGCCCGCCCTGCACTAGCCGCTCCCAGAGTACTGAGTAAACATGTGATGATCAACTACAGATAGTAGGTAGTAACTATTGCTAGATCTAGTTTCCCTGTCATTGCTCAACTGCTGGCTGATTTCCCCATATTTGCAAGCAAGATATAACTTAGCTATCGCGTAAACGTGGCTAAAAGCTGCCATTCAATCTCATTTTTACTTCACTAAGTTTGTCTTGTATGAATCACTTAGGCAGCAACAATATGTTCTTCTCGGTCACTGCCAAGGAGCTGCCCGGCGCAAAACAAATCAAGCCAAACCGTACTCCCGTAGATAATCTTGACGTCCACCTTCAAATCACCGGAAGACTTCCTCTACAGTAATAATTATTCATAACTGGCTTTGGTGATTACCGACCAACATGCGATTTGGGGGGCTTGCTACCCACCTAGATCGTGGGGTTCCGATCAAGGGTCTTTCCAAAGCTTTGCACTCTGTTTATTTCTCGCTATATACAAACAAAGGAAAGTCTAAGAACACGAGCATTCAAGTCATGCAATCATCATCCCGACCCGATGATGGCCAGGAGTGTAACAACCGAAGAGAACTGAGCTGATTGTTGCCAACCAGTTTCCTCCTGGCGCATCATCGAGCCCCTCTAATGGCATTCATTTCTGCCAAGGTCGTCGTTAGCCGTCTCCTCGCCTCCATCTCAGCAGCCATGTCTTTATCGCGATAATAGTGTATTGTGATGTTGTGGACAGAGCGGTAGCAAGCATAACTGAACCGATCATTAGCTTCATTTGACAATACTGGGCGAGTGCGGAGTCACCTACAGTAATTGACGAGTCACCTGTGACTCGCTCTTTGTAAGTCGAGTGCCAAAGCCTTCGAGCAAGGCAGGCGAAGGGTCTTCGAAGACCTCTGCCATATATATGTCGCCCCATAGTGCATGGCCAAAGCCCGTCACTCCAGACAATTTCCTGGACACCGGATCCAAAAATACTTGTGACGGCCGACCTAGGCCAATCACTACCAACCGTGGGAGGGTGATTTCTTCCAGTGCATTTGACAAGCGGCAAACGTGATGCCTAATCTCCGAATAGGGGAGATGAACAAAAGCATCTTCTGAGTCTCGCAGAATGTCCTCGAAGAGCATGACAAAAGCGTCCCTCCAGGAGAGCTTTCCCCGCCCACAGGCCACTTGCTCCAGCGAGCCGAAGGAGCTTGAAAGGGGTTGTCCGATCTGCTGGACCAGCGATCCCAGATCTTTGTCCAGTTTTCGGCGTTCTTGCGTCGTAAGTCGGGGTCCCATCTCCTTCAAGGTCGAGCCAGTGACATAATGTCTGACTAAGAAGGCAGACCCGAAAGGGCCACCTTGAAAGCCATAATGTACGAAAGATGGCACATATGGAGTTGCACTCTGCCCTAGAATGGACAGGGCTCGTGCTTCCGTCTCAAGCAGGAGCTGTTCTCGCCGCAGAAGAGGTGTTGTTGACCGAGGTGGACATTTCAGAAGCCATTGGTCTCCATTTGAAAGTATCAGGAGACTGACGGAATGTAGATGCCCCTCCAGGGGATATACCTCTTGAATCTGGACCGAAGGCGGAAAGTGCCGTTGGAGTACTGAACCAATAGTATTTGTACTCGGGGGTTCAAGCTTGCGAGTTGGCGAGACAGAGAAAGAAGGGGACATGATGGAAGAACAGGGCGGAATGAACGAAGAAAAGCCAACAAGTCCCATCAGGTTCTATAACTTTCTTATAACATCGTAAGCGTCGTGATCTGGAATATCGATCCGACTCCGCGCAAACATTGCAGCTTTTAGTAAGAGGGGTGCGAGAGGGGTATCGAATCGCGCCCGGAGTCCTTTGGCAGGCAGAAGAACCAGAGATGTTCTCCTGGCAATGGGTGGCAGACAGTCGATGGTTATGTTAAGCCAGGACCAACATGCTTCGTGGGCCAGAAAACCTGTTGTTGTCCTGCAAGATTTACAGTATCTCCCCGCTTGATTAACCGGAATATATACAACTCTGTGCTGCAACCAGGGGCGCAGGAGACTGGCAAGAGTCTCCGGTTTGGGGGCTACTTCCCCATTGGAGCAGATTAAGCGAGTTGGGGAATTCGCGTAGAGCGTCCATGGTGAATGGAAGTAGATGTAAGTCCGAAAGACTCCAACGCGATAGAGGAGTTAGTAGGTACTCCGTACTGGAGTAGTAAAGAGAGAGGGTCTGAGACTCTTGAGTCTGAGTAAGGTTCGGCCTCGCGGGCTCGCCTAACTCTCCCGCTCTGAGAAAGGCGCCATGCAGGTGAAACGGGCCCCGCCCAATCATGGCACCGCTTTACCGAATGCAATATCGTGGAAGGATCTGCCGGCTCCAGGCTTTCGCTTCTTTCGCTTCAATGTTGATGAACTGGAGTTACTGGACACATGATCGTGATGCTAAACAACGATCAGGAATCTATCCCCGGCTCTAGTCTTTGCAATGGAGTCGAACTCGCTAGTCTAATGCAAGCCCATACCTCGTAATGACTTATGGTTGGCTCGTCCGGTTCATCCAGAATACTACGGTGTCACCAGTAGGTTGGACTTTATTAATGTACACATGTACACGCTGCACTAGAAGGACTAGATCAGCCTGGGCAAGAGTGACAGCAATGTTTCCATTCGGTCGGGTTTTTGTGAAGCTACTGGTATTCTACTAAACCCAACTTCACTCGACCTGTCAGGTAGAACGTCCCTTGCGTGCTATGGGTCCCTCCCTGCCTGCAACATCGCTTTGCATGTCCAACATCATTGATCTAGTCTAGTCGGAGACGGACCATCGCTTGCAAGTTTGGTTCAGGTTCCCTGGGGCGTGAGATTCACCGATTGCCCCATGTTTGTGACCCTTCGATCTAACAGAATGTGGAATGTGGACTCGCCGGCTTGTGGATGCTGTTAGAGGGGGGAAAAACCTTCGGTTGACTTCCCTAACTTGGGCAACTTACGGCTTGTTGACAATATTTTAAAACCATTGAAAAATACTGGAATTATTATTCTCTAGACAAAGTCCGCATAAAAACTTATATTTGACTCACTACATCTGCAATTACATCCCGATGTATCCGAGAGCGGTGGCTCTGTGACGATAAGACGTATGCGCAGCTGTTGTGCTCGACTAGTCCCAAGCAACCTGAAAGCTAAGCCAGCATGAATCAGTCAAATCAGTGCAGTCACTGCAGCCTGACGCGTCCTTTTTGTATTGAACGCATCGCTCACCACCGTGACTTTTGGTCTACGTGCCAGAGACATAAGCTTACGTCCAATACGAGTCCGGGTAAGGCGTCCGATTTCGCCGTTGTGTCCATCCGGAACATCCCAGCGGTTTCCGAACAGCTCCTAACTATTGAGATTCACCTGCCAGAGCCGACGCATTTTTGTAGTCCAAGTAATAGTCATTTGTTTCTTCCAAAATCGATTTCTAGAGATGTGTCCGAGATGTTTCGGAGAAGATCGTTCAACAGACCTGTCTGATATGATACGATGCTCGCTCTAGTCTTCGGAAGGCTCAGCAGCCTGCGCTGCAGCAGTTGGAGTATATAGTTCCGCCAGATTGTACTTTTTCAACTGCTCATAGTCGCTTCCCGCGACACCGATACCGATAACATTCTGCGGCATGTGATGTTAACCATGAGGACCTGAAATGCATTTGTTTTCTCAAGGCTCACCTGGATAACCATGACGTTGATGAGTATATCATAGTTCTTGAGATCGACAGGATGTTCAGGGCCAACGACATCAGCAACGGTCTTGATGACCGTGTCCCTGCTGAACTTTTTGTTGCTTCTTACGACTGGCCGGATGGCGTACTGAAGATGTCATGGCTTAGTACGTTCTCGTGGGTCTCGGAGCGAGGGTCACTGCAGCAACAACAACGTACCTTCTTTGGAGGGCCTCCAGAATGAAAGTGAGGTTTGAGAGCATCGCGCGCGAAAGACTCCAATTCGACACTGAGAGTCTTGCGAACCGACTTGACAGGAGTCATGCGTTGAATGTACCGAGAGCGCTTCTTTTCGGGATGAGCGTGCGCATCAAGGCACAATTGATGTACCATTTGCTCTGGATCAATGGACTTGTCAAATCGAATGAACGATACTGGCAGGGTCAGTAATTGGCAATATCAAAAAGTTAATATGGAGGTCAAACGCACAACATGGTAAGTCCATTCGAATTGCTTGGAATGGTCGAGACTTGGCTTGGCTGGGCTTCAGCCCTTCGACTTCCTTTTTGATCATCGCCTCGATGTCATCTTCATCTGAGTCGGACTTGTCTCCATCGTCGACTTTCTCAGACCCCTCGATGCTCTGGATAACAGAGCATATTAGACAGTGTTCACGGTTCTCAGATGGGAGGGATGCCAGCGACAGAGAAGCGGGGAAGACCCCGCTCGACAGGGCCGGGATAATACGTACCTGTGTAAACAAATCCACAGCCTCCGACATACACTTGGACTCCTTTCCGATGTCGCAACTCACAAACACGCCCCAATCACCACCCTCGATCCCTGCTTTATTGCCTGGCTTGCGCCATTGACCACCACCGCCACCCTAAGCCGTGTGTTAGATAGGAGTCCAGGAGAGTCATGAAGTCCATGGGCGGACTTTGGTGGCAATGAGTTCCAAGGGTGCGAACCTTTCTTTTCTTAGACGACTGCGCCGACATGTTATCAGGCATGGACCGTTTTCCCTTTCCAGCCATGCGCAGAAGTCAGACACTGGATGGTCGTCGGTGTTTCACGAAGGATTCCTCCCGTCAACGAATCAATCACCTTGCTAGAGGTGGGAGCAGTGCGGAAGCGAGTCCTGATCGCTAGAACTACGCGTGATAATGAGATTCTAGATGCATGCATCAACTTCCTACCTGGAGAGAGCGATAAGCAGGAAAGATCAAGGCGGCGGGGCATCCAAAATTCCATTTTGGGACTAGCGCGGGAAGAGCAACAGCGAGATCGTCATTCCACTCCGGCTCGAACCATTCACCATTGACTCGAAAGGTGGAGTGATTGACGGCTTGTTCTCGGCCGGACGGGTCACTGCAACGTGCGAGTATGCCCGTCCGTTGTCGTACTTTACCATCGAACCACTGGACTTTCCGGTCCGACATCGTGCCAGGGTCAAATGCATTCCTATGGCTATTTGGCTATAGCCCGCGGCCATGTCTCGGGTAGCCCGGCGCTTAAGCACCTGAGAGTGGATATGGATAGATAGATAGTAATTTACGGTACTTGTAGTCAAAGGGTGGTAGCACGAGAGTAATTCCAGCTAATAGCTATGCCCATTCAGCATGACATCACGCTATCTTCATGACGTACAACCGACGGACTCTCAGGGCCAGAACTCTTTTCAACTACTATTTATGCTCTCCCTCCTCCGCGTAAACATTCAACCTTCCTCTCATACACTGTTCATCCTTTTCCTCATATCTTCAATCAACTTCAACTACTGTTTAGCTTGTTGGCGTTCGCGATGACCACTAACGAGATCGTCACCCGAGAGCTCAAGAAGCCTGTTACTGTCGCCGAGTATCTCTTCCACCGTCTTCACCAGGTGGGGGTTCGCTCAGTGCACGGTGTTCCCGGTGAGTTGCCTATAACAAGCCATGTTTCCTGCTCTCCTTCTAATGTCATCGCACTTCTTTAGGCGACTACAATCTCGCAGCTCTAGACTATCTGCCAAAGTGTGGTCTCAACTGGGTGGGAAATTGCAATGAGCTCAATGCTGGTATGGTTACCATCCTGGAATTCGCACCTTCATTATCCGTGGTGTCAGACTAACAGGGTTGCAGGTTACGCTGCGGATGGTTATGCCCGAGTCAACGGCATTAGTGCCTTGATCACTACCTTTGGAGTCGGCGAGCTCTCAGCCCTCAATGCCATTGCTGGCGCTTACTCCGAGTTCGTGCCTATCGTTCACATCGTGGGTCAGCCCAGCTCTCAATCCCAGAAAGATGGCATGTTGCTCCACCACACTCTCGGAAACGGCGACTTCAACGTCTTCACCAAGATGAACACTGGGGTCTCCTGTTCAATTGCCCGCCTGACCGAGACTCTCGAGGTCGCAACTCTGATTGACAACGCCATTCGCGAATGCTGGATCCGCAGTCGTCCCGTCTACATCACGCTCCCTACCGATATGATCACGAAGCAGGTTGAAGGCGAGAGGCTCAATACGAAGCTGGATCTGTCCCTTCCCGCGAATGAAACCGAGAAGGAAGACTACGTGGTCGACGTTGTTTTGAAATACCTCCATGCTGCAAAGAAGCCCGTCATTTTGGTTGACGCCTGTGCTATTCGCCATCGTGTTCTTGATGAAGTTCATGATCTGATGGAGGCTTCTGGTCTGCCCACTTTCGTGGCTCCGATGGGCAAGGGCGCCGTGGACGAGTCGCGACCCAACTACGGAGGCGTATACGCCGGAACAGGCTCGAACGCAGGTGTGCGCGAACAAGTCGAATCTTCGGATCTCATCTTGAGCATCGGTGCCATCAAGTCTGATTTCAACACCAGTGGATTCACCTACCGCATCGGACAGCTCAACACCATCGATTTCCACAGCAACTACGTGCGCGTGCGTTACTCTGAATACCCTGACATCAACATGAAAGGGGTCTTGCGCAAGGTCATCCAGAAGCTGGGTAAAGTGAATGCTGAGCCGGTTCCGTACCTATCCAACGCACTGCCCGAGGAAGAGAAGACTTCTTCAGCCACCGAGATCACGCACCAGTGGTTGTGGCCCAAGGTCGGGCAGTGGCTTAAGGAAAATGACATTGTCATCACCGAGACGGGTACTGCGAACTTCGGTATCTGGGAGACCCGATTCCCTGCCAATGTTACCGCTATCAGCCAGGTCCTATGGGGTAGCATCGGATACTCGGTTGGCGCCTGCCAGGGTGCTGCTCTGGCGGCTAAAGAGCTCGGCAATCGTCGGACAGTCCTTTTCGTTGGCGATGGTAGTCTCCAGCTTACTGTGCAGGAGCTGAGCACCATGATCCGAAACAACCTCAACCCCATCATGTAAGCGTGCTTCACAATCCTTCTGTTCGCTACATACACTGACACCACAACCAGTTTCGTCATCTGCAACAACGGCTACACTATTGAACGATACATCCACGGGTGGGACGAGAGCTACAACGACATTCAACCCTGGGACCACAAGGCCCTGCCGACCGTCTTCGGAGCCAAGGACAAGTACACTGGCCACAAGGTTACCACTCGCGACGAACTGAAGCAGCTCTTCGCGAACGAGGAATTCAACTCGGCACCGCACTTGCAGGTAAGTGTCAATTCAAGTCCAAGAGACCTTAGCCCACCGCGATACTGACCACACACCACAGCTGGTTGAGCTTCACATGCCTAGGGATGATGCCCCCGCCGCGCTGAAGATCACCGCCGAAGCGGCTGCTGCGAGAAACAAGTAATGATAATGACCACGAAACGCCAATCCAGCAACTCGCCCGCCGTCTTTCCGCTCCACCATCCGTCGTTTGCATTGGAAAAGAAATTACCTTGATTCGAGCAATCACAGGGCGTAACGAAATTGACCAAGATCCAGCCGATTCAAAAGGCTTAATGGACACAGCCAATTGTATTAAGAAAGTTGTGGTTCCGTTACGTTGATTTTCAATATGTATTTTAATGATAATGACAACAATTCAAGATGAGTTAATATTGCTTTCTCCTTTGTAGAATTGCATTGTAGGAGGGTGGGCTTCTATCACCGTTTGGAGGAACTTTTGGGTGATGACTTGTCGGGCGTCGTCCTTCCAAGTTGTTCGAGAACCTTTCCCAATCTAGTCCACGTCTCTGCAGCCATCTATCATCTACGCATATTTCGTCCAGAGAACTGCCTGGGCCATACTTCCTTACCAGCCGAACATGACCGAATCTCCTTACATTCTTTCCTTCCAAGCGAGAGAAATGCGGGCTAGAACAGCCTGATCAATTGTCCGGAAACCCCGCTTTGTATGATCTTCCAAGACTGTGGTGACGTTGTTGGTCGTATTCCGTCTTACAGGCAGGGCGTTACGAACGCTATGGGCATCATGCAATTATTTACAAAGGAACTTCCCCGCAATCACGCATCAAGCCGATGAGTTAAGAGAAGGTCTAGGTTACCATGTCAACAGACTATAAGCAGAATGTAGAAACTGCCCCTCACCACCCTGTCAACCTCTTCGCGCGCGTCATTCACCTCGCCTACTGCTTTGCTGCACTGATCCAAGCTGAACGCCGCCAGTTCTACTCTTCTGGATTTAGAATAACGCGTAAGACAGAAAATGAGCGTCAGCACCAACCGTAACATCATCATCGTGGGCGTCGGGTCCTCTATGTCCCGGTCGCTGGCCATGTGGCTCGCCAGTCTCGGGTGGAACATCGCCTTGATTTCCCGCACGGAGAAGAGCCTGGCGTCCATCGCCGAGGAAGTCCGCTACGCGGCCCCAGACAAGAACACCGTCAACGTGGTCCACCATACAGCGGACGCCGGCGACCCGGCCAGCTTGACGTCCGCTCTGGATTGGTGCCTGCAGCAACTCGGTGGAACCCTCGACGTCCTCAGCTACAACGCCGCGCGGGTGGCGGAATCCTCCGTCGCGGATCTCACGCCCGAGGAGCTGGAGCTGGATTTCCGCGTCTCCGCGGTCGGGACGCTGGTCGCCGGCCAGTGGTTCCGCGGACATGCCCGGGTGGAGGCTGTCTCGCGAGGCGAATGGCCCTTGTTCCTGGTCACGGGCGGTGTCCTGGACAAGCACCCGGACCCGAGCATGGCGTCTTTGAGCATCGCGAAGGCGGCCTCGCAGACTGTCAGTCGGATCTTCGCGCAGGTCCTGCCTGAGAATGCTCAGATCTTGGTGGGCATGCCGCTGGTGACGGGTCGCACTGTTAACCCCTCCACCGGAGAGTACTATGAGCAGTATCGTCCCGATAAGATCATTCAAGCGCTCTTCCGGCCGTTCTTCGAGGAGAGAGAGCAGAGACCGAATGGGTCAGAAGGCTGGTTGGTGGAACGGCATCTGTGATCGCGAACGTGCCCCCGAGTCTGGAAGAGGATAGCCCCAGGAGAAGGGAGTTCGGTTAGGCCGTCCAGAGAGAGAGGTCAAACTCATCTCAAATAGTGCTCTGGGTGGGTTTCGATGTGAGACATGAGAACGCCTGGAATCAGACATTTCATTATAAGTGTCACTAGTCAAGAATGTGATTTGCCGTCTTGAGTTACACTGCGATTGCCGACTAGTGTTGAGTTAGCCAGCATTAGTTTCTTCGTGGTGTTGACAGGCGACCCTGGGGTCAAAGTGGTAGGTAGTATGAAGAAGGTATTGAAAGGGGGGGCACATAAAATGAGCGTCTGAAACTTGTATAGTTCTAGCAATCATCCGTGGGATGGCACTAACTATGTTCGGTCAGCCTGGCTTTGACCGGATTACGTGATGGATCTCGCTGTCATCTTGTTTCACCAATTCGATTTGACAGTGTCTCATCGATAAGGGCCCTCAAAATATCAAGATGTCAGCACCCTGGGAGTCACTGCCAAGACTCAAGGAATGATGGCTGGGGAATGCAGAAGAATGAACCAGGCAAAGTGCTGTGACTGCGACAGCTTATCGGACCACCACGTGATCGAGATGGGACGTTGAAGGGGCGCTAAGGCGGCCAGCGCATCAAAGCTCCTCTTCTACGAAGCCTGGGCCGGGCCTGACTTACCCCATCGTTAATGGCAAGCGGGTTTTCTGGCTTGCTGAGGAAAGACATTTCATTTATCTCAAGGAACCATTCTAATGAGCAACTAGTGGTTTTTAATTTAAACGTGGGAAACTAATCTCTTTCAAATTGCTAGGCTAGTGGTATGTTTTTAGCTTCCCGCGCCAATCTTCCGCGGCATCGTCCTTTCCTGCCCTTTCCCTTCCCCCCCCCTCCCCCTTCAACTAATGACAGACCTATTATCAGGGGGCTGTCCATCCCAGATTTCCAATTTCCTCGAGCTGTCGCTTAATTCTAACTCTTCAGCATCTTTGGAAATATAGTTTTTTTCCCCATACAAGGATCGTGCTGTCTACTCGACTCACAACAACGTGCGCACGATTCTGCCCGCCCGCCCGCAACCTCACGAGATTCGATCTATCGAAGCCGATGGCCGCAGATACCTGCCGATTCTGCTTACGTACCCGATTTGGAGGCTAGCTGCGCATGATTGCAATCGTGCATCGAGATACCTCGCGTCCGTCTCCTTTATCTGCCCTCCCCTGAATACTTCGCCAGTACTTCGTGTTCCCTGTGCGACCTGGTCGAAATCGCTTAGGGTCATTACCGGGCTTTCTGGGAGCATTGAGAATGCGGACTTTCCTCGATCATTGATCGCGGATGGTCCATATCACTCGGCCTCAGTGACGCGCATAATCTCTCTCGCTCTCTCAGAGAGGGGCTTCCGAACAAGTAGTAGAACTTCTTAGCATTCTCTGTGCAGACTATCTGCGATTTCGGCATCCGATCAAGATCGCTTCGTCGCAACGGTGATACCCAAGCACCGTCAAGATGGATGGCCAACGGCAGCAGCAATACATCCCGGTCCCTCCTCCTTCGGCGACGCAGCCCTCCCAGGCGCATATGATACCTCTACCGCCACCGCCGCCTCGATACGCCCCAACCCAATCCCAAAATGTCATGCCTCCTCCGCCCCCTGGGCCACCTCCTGGAGCAGGATACGGTGCATCCAAACTCACCAATCCTCAGCTGCAGCACCAGAATACTTTAGGCTGGCAGCAACAGACCTGGGCCAGACAGGCACTATCCCAAGGCTTCTTACCTCCCCCGCCGCCCCCTCCCATGGTCCCTACGAATCAATCGCCCTACGGTCGTCCCACTGCCCTCTCGATACCTTCATCTACTGATACCCGAACATCTGCAACTTACGTCCCGCAACCGGGCTCCTTCGGACCGGGTGTTGGAATACCGCCGTTTGACGTGCATTCTGCTCCGACCTACGAGAATTCAGGAACCATGCCATCTGTTGAACGACAGCGACTCCCCTCCGCTCAGACCTATGAGTATCCCACCGGGGACTCATCCACCTACAAACGGGACCTCAATGTACCTTCCACGCCGTCCTCGCGTACTCTCCCTTCGGCATTAGCAGTCAATGACGGGTCTCACGAACCAATTGCGTCGGGATTTCCCGCCACGGCCTCCCAGAATCACGTACTGCAGCCTGCGCCTACTAATGAGCTGATGAAGTCGCCTAGTCATCGTCATAATAATAGCAGCACTCTGCTCGGGGGCATGTCTCCCAACGAAGCGGCCGTCCAATGGCCACTCGACCGAGTTCTCCTATGGCTTGCGAGAAATGGCTTTTCGAAGGACTGGCAAGAGACTTTTAGGGCGCTAGAAATCGAGGGCGCCGATTTCCTGGAGTTAGGACATGGCTCGAATGGCCGGCCGAACCTGGGTAAGATGCACAACGTCGTTTACCCCCAACTCGCAAAGGAATGCGAATTGAGCGGTACGGGCTGGGATCAGACTCGCGAGCGCGAGGAGGGCAAACGCATGCGTAAATTGATTCGCCAAATTCACGAGGATGGCATTTATGATGCGGACTACTTGATGCAGAGACGTCGAGATTCTCATCCAAACGCTGCTTTTGATGGAGGGCACGAAGCCTCCCCGAAGGTGACCCACGAGCCCCGCTCTGCCGGCCCTTTCTCAGGAAGTGTCGCAAACAGTCCCAAATTCAAGGCATCCCAGCTGGTCCATAATCAGAGGCAGAGTACACAGATGCGATCTTTCACCACGCCCATACCCGCCAGCCATGACCCCACGTTATCTGAATTTGGTAATAATGAAACTGGCACTATGTGGCCGCGATCAGATTATTCTAGGGCGGTTCTGTCTAGCATCGGTGGGGAACACCAAAGGCAGAGCCCTTCAATGTCCAGCGATGGTGGAACTTTCCAAGTTCCCATACGACCCTATGAGGATAGCCCTAAAAGTGGCAGTCCGGCAACACAGCATGCCACCCTTGCGCAACCGGGACCATCCTCATCGACAGGTGATTTGAGTGTCAAATTTGAACATTCTCGTGGGAACAGTGCAGACTCCCTAACTGGGCGCCGGTACTATGAGTCTTACAGACAGGACAACGGAGTACGCCCCTCTCCCCATGAATCCTACAATCGCCACTCTGGCGGAGAGACCCCCTCATCATACCCGAAGGATCACCGAACAGGTCTTCTGAACTTTTTCAAGAAGCGGACCAAAGGAAGTGATTCCACTCACCCCTCTCCTGAAGAACAGTTCCTCGAGTCGCCAACAAGCCCTGTCAATACACGCCAGAATGGCTCTCACCTCCCCTATGCGAAGCCAAATTTTAGCACTAGCGATATGTCGCTGGGTGAACGCCCATCGTCTGCATCCATGTCGGATCATGAACGGCTGGTCTTGCGCCAGAAAACGCAAAAAGCCAAGAAGTGGACATTCGTTACTCTGGATGGCTGGAATTATCGGCTGGTGGATATTACCGAAATGGATTCCGTTGAGACGCTGCGTTCTGCAATCTGTCAGAGCCTTGGAATATCGGACTGGACTGCGGCCCAGATCTTCTTGACCGAGCCCGGCCAGACGGAACATGACGAACCTTTGAACGACACCAATCTGGCTCTATGTCGGAGGTCGAGGTCGGATTTTCTGGGCTCACTCAAATTATTCGTACGTGGATCGCACATGCAACTGGCCACCAATGGCTTCCCTCACTTTGCAGGGCTGGGAGTTTCTATCCCAGACAAAGCGACTGCTTCACCAACGTCTGCCCATCAAGTGCATAGAAAGCCACTGGATGAAGATGCCTTGAATAGGATCTCACCTCAAACTCAAAATAAGCCTACCTCACCACAAGTGGCTTCTTCACGGCAACAGCTGAAGGTGTCCTCTGCTAAGCTTCCGCGTGACGTGTCGCAAGCTTCTATTGCAGCTTCTCCCGTGGACCATGCTGCGGACGCCGGAACAGCTGATGCCGAGAAGGCGGATTTGCTAGCTCGTCATGAGGAGCATATGCGCGAGGTCGAGCGGAAACAGCGAGCCTATCGCATCTCGAAAGTCCCGCCTATGCCGCAACCGAGGAAGGATGCCTACGGCGAAACCGGCTATAGGCGCGAAGGTGTTATTGATTTTGACTCTCCCCGCATATCGCCTTATGAAGACAAGAAATCCGAACCATTGGTCCCACTCCGCAAACCCCCGACGGCACCACATGAGTCAAGCACTCTCACGAAGGTCAATTCTCTAAGGAAACGGGACATTGATCGTCCTCGTGTCCAAGTTCCTACGCAGCCACACGGACTTGGAGCCGCTCTAGCCAGTGTTGGTAGGATCACTAGCGCTATTGGAACACCAATACCATCAGTACCGCCAGCAGCGGGCTCTTTCAGCCCAACTAAGAATGTGGGAAGCAGTCCCGCCACACATCATTCAGGTAAGTCCTATTGGTGCCTTTGTGCGGCAACTTTTTCAGATGACGACGTATATGTGGTTCTGTCACTGACATCTAGCAATAGACGAGGTGAAGGGAACATATCAGGATAGTCAAGCCACACCAACGGCACGCAGTGTGCCGTCACCAACCAAGGGCAACACTTCGCCCCCGGAGCCTAGGCCGGGCCTGCAGTCCCGTAAATCCTACGGACCTGAATTCGACTTTGAGGAGACGAAAGTTTCATTCCAACGCTCGCCCTTGCCACAGGATGATTCTGACGACGATTCCGATGATGGCCTCTTCGCCATACCATTGGCAAATACCAAATCGCCTGTGGCGGAGAAAGGATCATTGACCAGCTCACCCGAATCGCAAAAGAGAGCAGCAAAGCCATCTCTCACCTTGAACACTGAAAATAGACTACGCAAAGGACTTTCCGTGAGCTTTCGGTCTCCGAGTGCTACCCGTGACACTTTCTTAGCGTCTAGCGGCGATTCAAGCGCTCCGGAAGCATATCACTCTGATATGACCGCTTCGCCGGAAGAAGAGAGGCCCCCACGCAGAGACTCGTTTGCCCGAGGCGATATCTGGGCTAGCAGACCTCCTGTTGAGGGCGTTATCGATCATCTCGATGACTTCTTCCCTGACATTGACCTTGACACCCCTTATCTGGATGGACAGGGCATGTCCCCACCTTCATCACCAGCAAGCAAAATGGCAGCGGAGAACGAATTGAGCCACGAGGAAAAATCAGACGGTCCGTCTTACACCATGCCACATCCTTCGGCCCCTGTCAACATTCCCAGCGAACCACCTGTCAGGCCCCCGGAGCCAGGTGCTGTTGCGCGAAGGAATGTAAGTCGCTCCGGGGGTGGACTTACTCGCATGAAGTCTATTCGAGAAGTGGCCAAGGGCGCCAACCGAGCTAGCAGAAACAAAAGTGTGACCTCCTCCACCGGCAATCAACGATCCGGTGACATTCTTCGTCGCAAGAGCACCAAGATGTTCGGCGCCAAGATTATGCAGATCAGCCCGAAGCCTGGCAGCCGGTTGAGCCAGCTTGACCCTATTCCCCAGACCCATGCACCCTCTGGTAACATCCCTCAACGGCAGCCCACCTTCCGGATCATTCGCGGTCAGTTGATCGGCAAGGGAACCTACGGCCGAGTGTACCTTGGCATGAATGCCGACAATGGTGAGGTCTTGGCTGTGAAACAGGTGGAGGTCAATCCCCGCATTGCAGGGCAAGATACGGACCGAATCAAGGAGATGGTCGCTGCGATGGATCAAGAAATCGACACCATGCAGCACCTGGAACATCCGAACATTGTGCAGTATCTCGGTTGCGAACGAGGCGACCTATCTATCTCCATCTACCTCGAGTATATTTCTGGTGGCTCCATTGGCAGCTGTCTCAGAAAGCATGGCAAATTCGAAGAAAGTGTAGTCAAGTCTCTTACGCATCAGACGTTGAGCGGGCTGGCATACCTTCACGACCAGGGCATTCTACACCGTGATCTGAAGGCCGACAACATCCTTCTCGATCTTGACGGAACATGCAAGATCTCCGACTTCGGCATTTCAAAGAAGACGGACAACATTTATGGCAACGATTCGACGAATTCCATGCAAGGGTCAGTATTCTGGATGGCGCCTGAAGTCATTCAGTCCCAAGGCATGGGTTACAGTGCTAAAGTGGATATTTGGTCCCTGGGCTGTGTGGTGTTGGAGATGTTCGCTGGCCGCCGGCCATGGAGTAAGGAAGAGGCGATCGGTGCCATTTTCAAACTGGGTAGTCTGAGTCAGGCACCTCCTATCCCGGAAGACGTATCCATGAACATCAGTCCAGCCGCGCTCGCCTTTATGTACGACTGCTTCACTGTGTAAGCCTTCTCCATCCTATTTCCTTTCGTGTTGATATGCTAATATGAGCCTCAATCAGGGATTCTCTTGATCGTCCTACGGCAGAGACTCTTCTGACTCGTCATCCATTCTGCGAGCCTGATCCCAAGTACAACTTCCTCGACACGGAACTCTATGCCAAGATCCGACATGTCCTTTGAAAGGGAACAAAAACCAACAAGCAATGTAGTAGTGTACAGTCAGTCCCCAATTTAGCGTGTTATCATTAGCCCGTTAGCCCTTGTCCCCTGCATTGCACTTTTCTCCTCGTGCTCATACCCCCTCTTTCGCGTCGTAACTCGGACTGTGCGACATAATGTGCATACATTTCACCGAGGAAGGTGTTGTTAAGTCAGCAGACCACTCTGCCGTCTCTTCTTTCATCCATTGTGTACATATATATTGTGAGGATGCAGACCACAAGGTATAGCAAACTTTACTGTCAGCATATCAGTCCGCCCTAAGGATGGCGTCTGTGGTAAACTATTTACCATGGAAGCAACGGTATAATTGACCGAACCACGTCGGGTATAAAGTTGCACACGCACGGCAGCCATGACATGATGCCAGCATCAACATATACCTGACCATACACATATCACTTTACCGGCATCGAAACATTCCTCCATATCTCGCGACTCCCCACCCCAAGGCAGCACATACACACGCTGATTACTGACCACCCGCACGCCCTTCCTCGTAAAGTCAGCGCTAAAGTTAGTATGCCCAAAGACCCAGACATTGTTGGGTGATTTCGGGGTGGAGGTCGGAGAGGATTTGGCATGTGGTTGTGGGACTGTTGCTTTCTGGGGGTTGGAAGAAAGAGCGGATTTTCTGGGGATCATTTTTTTGGAGTGTATTTGGGCTACTCTGCACCGCTGTTGATGTGTATAGTTGCTTGATGTGTGTGTATGTGTATGTGTCTGAACTGTAGATCACGTGCCCTGTAGCTTAACGTAACCACTCCGTTCTCGGTTGGTATCAACTAGCTGCACTCTTGGTGTTTCCACTCACGTATCCTGAGGTTCTGACAAAAGTCGCTCCGGTGACAAGCTGAAGCGTGGAACTTGATGTTACCCCTTTATTCAGGTGGTTCATGTAAGTATCTGTATCAATTTAGATGTGCATGTCTAATCTCTTGCAGGATATTGGAAGCCATGGCCCGAGGCCACCTCTGAGCCAGCCATATTGACGGTGGCTATCTGTTCTCTAAATGCAGTCCTCAGTTGCCAGGCATATTCCCCCGGATGAGCTCCACATCTCTTGGGGCATGTCTTCCTAGCCTGCTTATGCTTCTTTCTGCATACAGCAGATTAAGTCAATGGACGAGTGCAAGACCAGTTGCACCACAGAGCAGCGGTGAATAGGCTCATTTTAGGAGCAGACCTCAGAGCAGCCCCAAGGAGTGACCCGTAAGGTTAAAGAGTAGCAGCTTTCACAGAGAAATGAATTTGCAATACAGTGAGGCAGCGCAACCTGGGCCTGAAATTTGCGGAGAATGCCGAGCCCTCAGCTGTTGTGAGCTCTTATGCCCCGGCGACTGAGTTGCCCTTTGTTTCTACGGCGATGTTGCTCCTATCTCTTACTTACACAAGCACATGTCTACTCTCTGTCTCTCTCTCTTCCTCTTCTTTGGCTTGATTCTTGTCTTACAAGTCTTTAGTCTTTGACCTCAGCGCTGCTCTGAGCACGAGCACGTCTTGTGAAGCACTCATAGATCCAGCAGGTACATCGCATCACGCATCCCGCCCACCTCACTGTAAGTAACACGCTGCACAGCTGATATCAGACAGCCTCACATACTGAGAGTATTGCCAGACACCAGCAACTCTTCTTCCAGACAAGCCAAGCTCCAGCCCTTGGGCCAAGAGACGCAGATACGTCTCTGTAGCACTCTAACTCTCTATCTCCAAGGTACAACATCGTCGTCAACACCCAGCACCATGCGTCAGGAGCGTCTCAACGACGCCGCGATTGCCCTCCACACTGCCCTGGCCGGTGCGGGCGTCAAATACGGCACTTTCGGCGGCTACGCCTGCACCCTGCTCGGCAGCCGACGCGAGACGAGCGACATCGACTGCCTCGTGTCCGCGACCAAGCCCGACATCCTTGTTCTGCTGGACGACGTCAGCAACTTCACCGTGATCCCACGCAACCGCGAGGACTACGTAGCTGTGATCTGGAGTGACAGCGCCAACCAGACGGAGCCGGTCCTGGTCGAAATCTTCTGTGAACGCTTCCGAGGTAAGCCATCCACTCTCTATATCGCCAGACCCCCCATACTAACCCCCATATCCAGGCTCCCACTACACCATGTGCCACTGCTACCCGCGCCTCACCCTGGTGCGCGGCGAAAGCATGGGCGTGGGCCTCGTGCAGCACCTGCCCGCCTTCACCATCTTCAAGGGCAAGCTCCGCGCGGCCGCCACCCGCAGCGAGCCCCACGACGTCTTCGACCTGTGGTGGCTGGCCGGCCGCTTCCAGACGGTCTACACCTACGCGCGCCACCTCAACCTTGACTACGTCGGCTTCGCCATCAAGCGCTACCCCGGTCTGGAGCTGCTGTTCTTCCTGCTGGGGCTGGACGTCGTCGGCGCCATGGCTGGCGTCCAGGACATCGAGCTCAACCAGCTTCCGCTGTCCGGACCGGGCGATATTCAGCGTGGATTGTTGCTCTAGACGAGATAAGGTCGAGTCACTTGTGGAAGCACCTGTTGATCTCTCTTCATGGCTGTGGTCTGGCGGTTGACTTGTGATTCCAAGGATAGATGGGTGGGAATTCGGGATTCAGGAGACGTGTACCTATCTATGTGCGTCAGAGGCACTCTTCTTTTTCCCATAGGAACGGAAATTTAATGGAAGACTAATTTTGCTCTCCTGAAATACATCTTTCCCAGTTGTCGTTCCGGGTTTAAACCCATAACTAGGTCAAGTAGTTCATCTTTTCAGACACCTGGGTCTACACAGCGTGTTCTGCTGATCGGGTGAATCCAGTCTCCCTTGGTTTGGCACAGCAGGGTACGGTACCTACTGTACCTACCAGCTCGGAGGAGGCCCAGGGTCAGAATTGTTTAGGACTCTTTGTAACTGGCCTCTACAGATTACACTACTCTCTGACTGACCCCTTAGAGCCTTTTAAATTATATACAAAATTCTTGGCCCCCTTTTTATATGAGGAATATCAGGACTTTTCAGGCCTGAAACTTCCTTAAGAAGGGTTCTCTATTAGAGAATACCTTGGATCATTCTTTGATGTTAGGATAGTCAGGGTTTCTGTGGGGTTGAAAAATAAAGTCAATAACAGGCTTTGTGTTATTGGAATTTTCAAGTTATACTTTACTAATCCCCTGAGAAGGTTCAATTCTTATAGTAGCACAGTTCTGCCATGTTTCTGCACTCTTTGAAGCTGGTAGCCCGCGTAGCAGCGCTTCCATGTGCCATGCGACGGGCCGACAAAAGGGGCAGGGCTACGATTCTTTGCAATAACAAAATTGCTGTGTGCTCCAATTTACTTGTGTAGTTTGCGCGAATTCGGTGGAAAGTGTCATGAGCTATGTTTGCCAAATTGTAAAACGAGAGTGGATTCCGCATTGAGGGTATCATAAGTAGTCGAGTTGCCGGGTAAATATATATACAGTACATGGGTTGGGATCTGTTTGCTCACTAGTCCGAGACGGCTTCATTGGATGAATTCGCCTTCTCCTGCTCGTGCACGCGCTCCTTCCACAGCCGGAGGACCTCAAACCCCACTTCGACGGCGATGAGCAAGATGATGATCCATTCCAACCGCAGGCCGTGCGTCTCACTGAGCCGCTCGCGCAGCACGCTGGCGATCTCCTGCGCGTAGTCCATCTTCTCGTTCAGCAACTTGATGCGGATCCCCACGTCGAGCGCTCGCCCGACCTGCTCATAGTACCCCTCCAGACCCAGTTCGTGTCGGCTGTCCCAGAAGATATCGGGCAGGGAATCGGTCAGCTCGGAGTAGAGGTTCAGCTGCGCGCGCACGCTGAGGAGCTGGCCCGTCTTGCGGAGGATGAAGTCGCGGGTGAACGGCAGCCGCGAGCCCTGCGAGAGCAGCGTGGGGATGGTGCGGGTGGACTCGAAGTAGTTGGAGAGCAGGGACTCGAGCACGGCCAGCTTCGTGCTCCGCGCCAGCCCAGACGAGAAGGCCACTTTGGTCAGCACCGTGTCCACCGACTGCCGCGAGGAGGCCGGGAAGGTTTCGTCCGGCAGTGCACTGAAACTGAAGCTCGGCTTCGTCCCCAGCACGATGGTGTCGCCCTTGATGCTGCTGTTCTCCCGCTGCGGATCCTCTACGTATTCGAGGTCCTCCGTCTCCAGGTCGTCCACGTGGGCGCCCCGCGCAGCCGGGAGCAGCGTCCGCGTGGCCAGGAAGGATGTGAACGCCTCCGGGAGCGACCAGGCAACCACCGTGCCGGACGGAAAGACGAACAGATCCCCGACCTCGTCCGGTGGGAGGTCGGACGCATTGGGGTTGCTCACGCGGCGGATCGAGTCCAGCGGGACCTGGACATGCACCACCTGCGGGTAGAGACCGGTCTCGTAGGGGTCCGGCTCATAGCCTTTCAATTGTAGAATCTCTCGGACTTGGTGAATGTCGAACTGCTCGGCAACGGCGTATGCGGTTATTGTCTAAATGCCCAAGAGAAGTTAGCTATCATGGACCGGTAAAATGGGACCGCAACCGCAGGGGCCAAAATACCTTAGTCTTGTATAAGCCTTGCTCCTTGAGCTGAGCTTTCGACAGAATCCCGTCCTTTGACCTTTGCGCCTCAACCGCAACTCGCCGCAGCGATGTCTGTGCCGCAGGCGTCCGGCTGCTCCTCTTTCGCTGCTTCTGACCCTCGAGATGAAACTGCTCTTCTGCATTTTCGCCGTTCCTGGCTTGCTTCTGCGCTAGAAAAGCATGGGAGGAGAGAAAGTCTTTGCGTCGAAGCGCGCCTGCGAGAGGTGAAGCTTGCAAAAATTGGCTTCGGGGCTGTTTCGGGAACCTAGCCACCGAGGGCCAAAAAGTCATGGATCCGACATATGGTCGGGCGAACATGCTAACGCCACTGATGCTGAGACGAGGGAAAGAATGACAGAGTCAGAGACCGGGACTGTGTCGCTAGGTAGTTGTTGATGCCATACCAGACCGTTGCGACGGTGTAAGTGTGGTCTAAGAATGCAAATGCTTGATTGTTTGACAACGATTAATTATTGATCGATGGAACGATGAAAGCGAACCGGGGAGAAGAGCTTAGTCATCCGGGCGGCGGAAGCATTCAATCTGATTGAAGCTGATAAGCCAACTGGGAAAGATGAGAGTTAGCTTGCGACTAACCCGATCGGGGTACTACCTATACTCCCGCCTCCAGCTCGGCGACCCGACCGGGTTCTAGCTCCGTCTACTCCGTCTAGTTACCACTTGACCGCCGCTGCTGGGCTGGGATGCTTCTCCCCTACACAGGCGCCCCCAGTTTCACAGACCAGAGCTACAGGTCCACATTAGGCTCTCGCCATGGACGCGCCTGGCGCGACAGAGGCAACCGGGACTGTCCGCCAGGACGGTCACCCTCCCGACTCCCACTCCCACTCCCACCTTAGCCGAACCACATCCGAGGACAGGAATCACCGCTCCCAGCCTGGTGAGCTGGACGAGACGGATCACGATCACAATGACGAAGAATCGGAAAGCGAAACTGAAGCTGGAGATAGTTATCATGAAGATGACTCTGACTCCGACTCGGATGAAGACGAGGACGAAGAACCACGTCTCAAGTATGCGTATCTGACCAAGCACCTCGGGGCGGTGTATCGCAACGGAGATGCAACTAGCTCCTTCCTGGCTGCTGGGGACAAGATGGTAACAATACATACGGAGCCGACAAGAAGAAAGCATGCTAAGTGAATGTCTAGGTAATTGGCTCGCATAATGGAAACATCGTGAGTTGCTCGTTGTCCGGGTCGGGATCATGCGAACACTGACAAGCTCCGCAGCATGTATTGTCGATACCCCAATTGCGTTCTCTTCGTGTTTATCACGCACATTCTGCGAGTATTACCTCAGTCTCGATCTCGCCCTACCCTCCTCCATTACCAAACGTGAAACCAGAGTATTTTGGTCGATTCGCAGATGACCCGGAATACGCCTCCTCCAAACTATCCTCAGGCGCCGCTAGCCTCCGTGGCAGACAAAGAACAAACCAACCGACCCTCCCCTCGACGCCTTCTAACTCAATATACATCGCTACGTCCTCCATTGACGGGAATGTCTGCGTTGCATCTTTGCTTGATTCGAAAGACGTCCTTCTGCGGAACTTCGGGAGACCCGTTCAAGCCGTCGCATTGTCGCCGGAGTACAAGAGTGATAGGACATATCTGTCGGGCGGAAGAGCGGGCGATCTGATCCTGACTATCGGGGGCCGAGTCGGTGTGAGCACAAACTCGACGACCATGGGCGGCGCTGCTGCCGCCGCCTCGAGCTGGCTTGGGTCGATAGGCCTCGGGGCCAACACTGGGAAGGACACCGTGTTGCACGGAGGCGAAGGTGCGATCAGCACGATCAAGTGGTCCTTGTCGGGTAAATATGTTGTGTGGGTCAACGAGGAGGGCATTAAGATCATGCGATCAAACCTGCACCTCGATTCGTCTGACGCGGAGTTCGCTTGGAAGCGCATCAGCCATATTGATCGTCCCAGTCGCCCCGGTTGGGAGGAAATGGCCAGCGTGTGGAAAGCGCACGCTGAGTGGGTGGACGAAAATACCCTAGACCTTGATGACAGCCTACAAACCAAGGGAGGCGTAAATCATACTGAAAGCTTGGCGCCGACACATCCAACAATCGTCACAGAGAAAGTGGAAAAACTGGTCGTAGGATGGGGTGGCACCGTCTGGGTCATTGAGGTATATCCCGATAGACCAAGCAAGAATAACAGGGATCACAAAATTGGATCGGTGGAGGTAACCAGAATTCTACGGACCGACTGTGTTATCTCCGGTATCTCCTTGTTCACACCCAAGCTTCTGGTCGTCCTTGCGTACATGGAAGCAGACCAGGATTCACCCGAAGACGACCGCAGCAAGCATGGTGGCCGTCAAACTGGAACGCGCCGTCGCCCTCGAGGCCTGGAGCCAGAGCTTCGAATCATTGATCTTGAAACGGAGACTGAGCTCAGTGCCGATAGTCTTTCAACCAGTCGCTTTGAGACGCTCACTTCTTCAGATTACCATATGTGTATTCTGCCTCCATGGAAAACGAGCGTACCTGCTTCGCAACGGGGAGCTCTAGAGACCATCGGAAACGGTCTTTGGGATGCTACATTCTACCCGGTGCGGCTCTTCAACTCCGGGGCCAGTATTCGCAGTACGACCAGCAGTGGCGACAAGGGCTCCAGCAGGGCACCGAGCATCTTTGCCTCACGACGAGTACCCGCGGAGGAGCCTCTTTCCAAGGAAATCCAGGACATGGCAGGAAGCATTGGACCCAAGATCCTGGTGCACAGCCCGTATGATTGTGTGGTAGCGCTGAAGAGAGATCTTGCGGACCGGTTGGCCTGGCTGGACGCACATGAGAAATACGAGGAAGCATGGACATTGCTCAAGGAACATCCCGAAGCAGCCGGGTCCGGGAGCGAAATGAACGACACCATACCCGGAACGCCTTCGATATCCCAGGGAAGCTTTGGCGAGTCGTTCATCGACGATGCAGCTTCTGTCATCACCACAACTGCTCGAACGACGGCATCCGCTGCAGATCAAGAGAAGCGCCGCATAGGAGAACTGTGGATCGAACAGCTGGTCGAGCAAGACCAGTGGCATGAAGCCGCCGAGGTTTGCACGAAAGCGCTCGACACCACACACAGATGGGAGCATTGGGCCTGGAAGTTCGTTGAGAAGGACAAATGGGACGAGATCTCCTCTGTACTGCCCTTGAACATGCGCCCGCCCTTATCTGCGAACCTCTATGAGACCATACTAGGTCATTACGTGGATCACAGCCGGCCCAAGTTCAGCGAGCTGATCGACCAGTGGCCGTTTGACCTCTTCGACGCGAACAACGTCGCGACCGCGGTGGAGGAGCAACTCGGCGAATTGACCACGGAGACGGATGACTGGCGGACCTTGACCAAGTGCTTGGCCAAATTGTACCTCGCGGGCGGCCACTATGGCGAAGCGCTCCATTGCTACATCCGTCTCCAGGACGCCGACACGGCGATGGCTCTGATCCGAGATCACCGTCTCCTCGACACCTTAACGGACGACATTCCCGCATTCATCCTCATCCGAGTCTCCAAAGAGCAGCTGAAGTCGGCCCCCATGTCCGAGCTCGAGGAGCTCACAGCGGAGCCGATCAAGCTGCTCGTGAGCGAAGCCTACACCGGAATCGTGCGACCAGATCTCGTCGTCGAGCAGCTCCAGGCCGCCAACCGGCTCCTCTACCTCTACTTCTACCTCCGAGCGCTCTGGCGCGGCGAATCCCTGCCCCACGGGGTCGCCAAACCGCGGCGGGGCCATTTCGCGCACATCCGCGACGCGGCCAGCAAGCTGGCGGCGGACGAAGGCAAGGCGCTCGTGGACAACTTCGCGGACACGGCGGTGGAGCTGTTCGCGGACTACGACCGGCCCTTGCTCATGGAGTTCCTGCAGACTAGCACGGCGTACGCCTTCGACCTGGCCGTCGGCATCTGCGAGACGCGCCACTTCACGCCGGAGCTGATCTACCTGCTCTCGAAGACGGGCCAGACGAAGCGCGCGCTGAGCCTCATCCTCGCGGACCTCAAGGACGTCTCGCAGGCCATCCAGTTCGCCAAGGCCCAGAACGAGCCTGACCTCTGGGAGGACCTCCTCGACTACTCGATGGACAAGCCGCGCTTCATCCACGGCCTGCTCGTCGAGGCCGGCACCGCCATCGACCCCATCAAGCTCGTCCGCCGCATCCCCAGCGGCCTCGAGATCGAGGGCCTCCGCGACGGCCTCACCCGCCTGATCCGCGAGCACGACCTCCAGGCCAGCATCAGCCAGGGCGCCGCCAAGGTCCTCCAGAGCGAGGTCGCCGTCGGCATGGACACCCTGCGCCGCGGCCAGCGCCGCGGCATCAAATTCAACATCATCGAGGAGGACGGCGCCAAGCGGCCCGTCACCGCCGGCACCACCGTCTCTACTACCGCGACCGCGGCCGCCACCAGCGACACCGTCACCGAAAAATCCACCAACACCACCATCCCAGCAGCAACAGCAACAGCAGCAGGAGCAACGCAGTCATCAGCTTCCTCCATTGCCTCTTCCACCGCCTCACCAGCCGGCCGCTGTGCAGGGTGTAGTCGCCCCTTCCGCGCCAACGGTATGTCCCTCTCTTCTCTTCCCTATTATCCCCCAACCCATTAACCCCCACCAAAACAAACACCCACCCATCCCCCAACCAGAAACCAACACCAAAGAAAGAAAATCGGCCAAAGCATTGCTAACTTAACTCCCCCGAACACAACAGAAAAAGAAATTCTCGTGGGATTCGCCTGCGGCCACGTCTTCCACCTGTCGCACATCCACCAAACGTCCACAAACACCAGCAGCCCCACCACCCCCTACAGCCGGTCGGCGGTGCACACGCCGCGGCCGTTCTCGCCGTCGCGCACCATCACCCTCGAGGACATTTCGACGGCGACGGCGAGGACGGTCGGTCCCAAGGTGACGACCGCGCGGCTGCTGCGCGACCGGGTCGGTGAGGGTTGTCGCATCTGTACGCTCGCCAAGGAGCTGGAGGCCATTGGGGATGCGGAAGCGTAGGCGTGGAGGCAGGTGGGCAGATAGGCAGGCTGTCTTAGTCTCGTGCATGGGAGATTCCCCTCTTGAATAAAGGGTCGGTGAGGATTCTCGACTCAAGTTTGCCCTTCGCTCGAGTTGGCTTTGAGGGCTGACTGCTAAGACAACGATCCTAACATCAAGCAATGCCCTACAGCTTCACAGCTACAACCCCCTAACATCCTGCAGCTGTTTGGATAGAGGGGTAGCCATAGTCGAGGTGGTGGTGGTCGAGTACGTCAACTCATCAGTATAGCTTCTAGGAGGACGCGACTAGGCCATGTATGTTTATTATTTAGGAGATACCCATGGTAGCAACGGATTACTGTGCGAGCAACGTCAGGGTCTGAAGACTTTTGTTCTCAAATTAAATTAGGCGGCGACCAACCGCTTCAATAGCAAGTGACAGAAGAAATAATTCTGGGAGCGGCACACGTTACGCCTTGCATCCCGACATGAGACAAATAAAGAGAAAATAGAAGCACCAGGTGTCCGACAGCAAGGGGGACAGGCTCAGTCACACGGAGTGTCCGTGCCCGAGTCCCCCAGTGCATGAGCCACTGATGAACTAGCACTAGAACGTTGGAAGAACCCCTTAGATACTGAAGAAGATAAGGAAAGTTGCCGCGAAGGCCAGAAGAGCAGCACGCATGCCACCATTACCGGCAGCCTCGCTCGAAGGGGGCGCGGTGGTATGAGTGCCACTGGCGGCCGAAGTACCCGTACCAGAAGCGGTGGTCAGAGTGGTAGCTGAGTGGGTGATATCCTGCGCACTAGAGGAGACAGGGGAAGCCGAGTGCGAGGCACTGGTGCTCGGTAGACTGGAAGTCTCCTTGGTGTTTGAGGTTGGGCTGGGAGCTGCCTCGGTCGTCGAAGTCACGGGCGGCTGCGCAGAAGTCTGTCCAGTAGTGCCAGGCACCGAGGTAGGAGAGACTCCCTCGGGCTTCGAAGTCACAGGAGGCTGCACCACAGTGCCAGGCACAGTAGTGGGAGCGGGAGGAGCACTCTGGGATTCCGAGTGACTCGAGGCCTGACTAGTGGGGTTGGCAGGAGGGAGTTCGGTGGTGCCCGTCGCGGGTGGGTTCGCGGGACCAGTAGTGGAGATCACCGAGGTCGAAGTCTCACAGATAGTCTTAATGATGGTCACTATGAGAACGACAGGGGTTAGAAGCTACGCTAAAGGCTTTGACGAAAGGGGGAGGAGAACATACCGTCGCGGGGATCGTGCTCATGCATAGCTGCGAAGGTAGAGTGGTCAGAACAGCTGACTCCCAGCTGCTTCCTGAGCTTGGATGACTTACCAAGAGGAATGGCAATGAAGGACTCATCGTCATGCACGGTTCCAACGGCACCAACGGTTTCTGGTAGAATGTCAGCTGAAGCGTTTTGATAAGGATGGTCGGAAGGCACTTACCGGAAGCCAGAGTCAGGGTCGCGAGGAAGCAGACGGTCATCAAGACCGCAAACTTGAAAGGGGCGAACATTTTGGTAAGAAGAAGTGAGTTTACAGTCTTGGAGCGAGACAAGGATGGAATCAACGAGCGAGGTTGTCAAGATTCAAGCCTAGGGGGCTGGGGATAGACCAGAACGAGTGTGGATGGAGGTAGCGAGCGTGAGAGGTGATGGAGTGGGGAGATGGAGAGGAGAAGCGATGCAGGAGAAGAGATGGAGGATGAGAAGAAAGAGGAAGAAGAAAAGGATGGAGGAGGAGAGAAGAGGGAAGATAAAGGATGTTGCAGTGAATGCGAATGTGCGTGCAGTGTTATCGTGGGTGATCCCAAATAGGAAAGGGCCACCAAGCAACTGAGAGAGTGCCACAAAGAGAGGGAGGCGGCCAATGACCAGCAGGCAGTGAGAGACATGCTTTCATTCACTCCAAGACACGCAGTCCATGTCGGATCTGGCTGGAGGAGAGCGCAAGCTGTTCAAGGTTGACTGAAACCGCATCAGAATGTGTAGATAGATGTACGGGAGCACTGCAGTTTCTAGAGTACTTTTAGCGCTCTGGACTGAGACATAGTACTTGCAGCATTCCCACCAGTGAAGAGATAATTATAGACCGAGCACTTGCAGATGTCAAGCGCACTGCCAGTGTACATGCAGGTGGTCTCCACGATAGATCAAAAGTACTGTCTGTACTTTGTGTACATAGCTCTAAGTCACTCTCTGCTTATACTTCGCTCCTCTGTAATGCAAGTCACTGGATATCCGGAATGTATACATCCATCCTATACAGCCACCCTCTAAATACGTCTCCACTTGATCAAAGAGAATAAGCTTAACAGCAGCCGAGCTGCACGGCAGCTAAGCTCAAACTGGTCAAAGAACCCTGCCACCTCCATACAAGGAGGAACGACCAGGCACAGCCGAACAGAAGAATCCAACCGTTACCGTCGGTACGTCAGCAGTGGCTGGTGAGTCCGTCCCATCTCGTCTCCTCTTTTCCCCTGCTCGGATCGGTCTAGCAACATGTCCCCCCTGTGGCTCAGGCCAAGCTCTCGGAGGATCCGGTCAGAGACTACCTGGTAACCTCCCCCGCTTGTCAACTCGTCCACGGATGTGGTACTTTTTGTTACCTCCCCTCCTTACCGTCGCCGCTAATCCCCACCTATTTATGACAGCTATGACAGGGCAGTCTGCATCCGTCTCCGTCTTCACCTGCACGGAAAGCTTTTCCTCAACGAATAGCTGGTCGGTTCGCAACGAGGTTTCAAGCTAGTCTCGTATCACAAAGAAACGGAAGGCCTGGATCTTTCTAAAATATGCACAGCTGCTCGAGCTGGCTGGAATCAGCTCTGATGGCTGGATGCATGGGATCGATTGTTGGCCCTACTCCCATCACCATGAGGTCTGATCGGCCTGCCTTCTGGGCCCGGACATCAGGAATGTGCCAGCTATACGCCTCAATCGATAATTACACCAGAAAAACAATAGAGAGCGATGATCAAGAACCACATTTCATGGTCCTGATGGCCATTCTGAAAGGCGGGTGGTTCCCGGTGGAATGGTATGCATCAACCCGCCGCCACCCAGCAGATTGTTCACCTTCCGGAGCTCCTCCCAACGCTTGAAGCTATTCCGAGTGATAGAACTTTGCAGTAACGGGGTTGACCCACACTTCTACAGACACCATCGTTCCTCTTTCTTCGCTACCCTCCCCTTATGACCAGTGACCTTGAACTGTTCGTCGTTGTTCCTCAAAAAACCTCCCCTTTAACGACATACCTAATCCCTTTCGCGGTAGATCAGCAACGTTAGCTGCGGAGGTTATTGCAGATAAGCTACCGTCCCCACGGCTGCAGGTGTCACTATCCCCAAGACCGATCGACCAATCAATGGCCGATCGAGCAGAGATCGAGCAGAAGAGTCTGACCGTCCACGATCTCCTGTGGCAAAACGGTCTCCTCTGCCCCCCTTCCCCCCAGACGTTTCTTCACGCACGTTTAAAATCAACCTTAAAGCCTAACGAGACCTACCCTCCCCGGCACTTGCAGCCAAAACCCGCCAGGAACGTTACCAGCACCTGACAAGAAAGTTACTCTTTCCGACGCTGTGGTTCCCGGACAAGCAACCACCTCGTGTCCAATGCTTCCGGTAGATCGATAGCGCCCTATGAGGTGCAGCCCTAGAAAAGAGCAATCTACACAATCTGCAAGCGCCGGCTGACTGATTGGCTCACCATGAACTAGTTGGCTAGTTGTTTTTTCTGTTCCCCTGTCGATTACTCCTCCCGACTGCCGAGTAGATCCGGCTTCATGATCACTATCCCTACTTAGCGCGACCTTGGCTCACAACACAGCACACCTCATGACAGCCAAATCTGTCTTGTGCTCTTGTTCTGAGTATCTTATTCCATGAGCAGTGGTCTTGAACCCTCAGGCATTCATTCCAGCACCACAGGGCGCCCTGGGCCAAGACAATACGAGCTGATACCGTTGATACCCACCGCCCAGCGGTTCGGCGAGCGTACGGCGTAAGCATGGTATGTAATTCCAATACCACCAATCCGCCCCTTCCTGCAGGCCAAACGGCGCTAAATTAGGTGCAAAATTACCACAAGTGGAGCAAAAGAAAGCATCCCTCACACATCGGCACGATCCGTATGTGGAGTGGGGAATTCATTTTCTCTCTCAGTCAGCCGCCGAGACCTAAGCACCACCAGAAGGAGAAAAATCGGTGGGTTGCAGCGGCGCTATGTCCGGAATTCCAAGGAACTTGACAGGAACTAGCAGTGCGCGTATGACGACATCGTACATTTCGGAGGTGCAAAAGGGCCAGACTTGCCCACCCCCTACCGAGTTTATGACGTCACTTTCAGGTCCAGCTGCGCTCGCTCGCTCCTCTTGGGGAGTCTGGAATTTCCCCTTCCCTTGTCCGCTCCCACCTTTTTTTTTTTTTTTTTTTTTTTTTTCTCTTCCACATTTTCCACCCCGGGAGCGAGTTCTAGTGTGAGAAACAATTTGGGGAGGAGGAGGAGCGGACAGCAGAGAGAAGAGAGGGAGGAGGGGGGGACGTGTCAGTCCGAACCGAAATCTTTTTGGTTTTTCGGTTTTTCCGCCTTCAATCTACGGAGTACCTTCCTTTTTCTACTCGTTTTCTTCTCCCTGTCCAGAATACACAGCAGGGAAAACCGGATCTCGCTAACTGAACACCTTCCCATTCCCATTCCAATGCACTACGACCAGCACCTACCGGTAGACCTGAGACCTCGTCGTTGTATCGACAGTAGTCCGTACATCTACATGTAACGATAGACAAGACAGCGTCCGCTCAGATCCCTTCCCCTTCCCCTTCCCCTTCCCCCGGAACTCTCACACGATCACATCCGACCAGAAAAAACAAATCAATCGTCTTTTCCCTCGCATCGAACCAGATGGCCCCCCCAACTCGGAAATCCGAAACCAGACCAACGCCCAAATTGAGACTGCCACAAAACCCCTCATTGCATTTTTGTACGAGGTACACACATACATCAGTACATCAGTAGGAAAGGTGCTACCTCTTCTCCACGAGATCGGCATTATCGTTTCCGAGCGCGGTGATTGGTGGAATAGCCCTTTTTGTTTGATGGCCAGCCAGCCAGCCAGCCAGTCCACTGTAGACTTTACTCGATTGAGACATACTGAAACTGAGTACATAGTACGTGTCCCCAGGGGGACCACCCAGAAAGAAACAAGAAAAGCGCTGAATCTTTGGTACGCACGCAAAGTATGGAACAAAAGCAGATGATAAGCGTGAAGTTCCTCTGACTCGAACATCGACACGTCGATCCCGATCCCAGATGCTGAGCCCGCCCGGCCAAAATGGTTCCATCTGTCTTCTCGAAACCCAGAAGAGGAAGATGACCGGAAAATGGAAATCCATCAGGTACTGGTCCCGGTACCGGTACAACCTTCAAGTCCAAAGTGTGGTACATACTGGTACGCTATGAGGATTCGAAAGCCGAACAAAAAAGGTGACCAACCAATGTGGTACCGAGGACGGGAGGCCATGCCCATGCGCCCTAGCGGTGACGTCACCGATATGGTAGAAGTATCTATTTATTTGTCGCACAGCTACTCCCAACCGAAGACAGCCACGCAATCTTTACCATTTACAAGGATAGGGTCGCCGAATAATCAGCTTCAGAAGACATGTTCTTTATAGACCGGGATGTCTCGAACCGATCCTGATCCTCCTCCTCCTCCACCGAACTTCGATCAGGAAGGTGCATAACATACCCCCGGATAGTTCGATCAAGTCGGGAAGCTTCCCCCGATCTCCGACCTTCCTTCTAGCCGTATCTCAAGTCCCAACAAACCTACGAGTAGATACCGTAAGAATCCCAAGAAGTCTTCGCGACATTTTAAAAAACGCAAACGCAAAACGCAACTCTAGCGCGCCGCGTCCTCCCTGAGACATGCACTAGAACCGCAAAAGACTCCACCGTTATTGTCAAAACTAAGAGTGCATCAACCCGTTAGTGGCTTCGCGAAGGTTTTGGGGAGTTTGTACACCGCACCCGAAGCCCATCAACCACCAAAACCCATCAACAAGACCGATTATCTACAGACGGGACCGGCCTAGAACCTCATTTTCGACCACTCAACATTCAGACTGAAGCCCTTCCTTCGGCAAGCTACCCATAGGTACTCATCAGTCCCGTGCATGACTTACCATACCTAGCACTGAGTGCCCAGGTCATACTCCGTAGTCCAGTCCCGTAAGAAACCAATCGGCACGAAATTACCCCCGAAGGGGGAAAAAAAAAAAAAACCACATCGAAGGAACTTCGATTCCATTCGATTCCTCCCCCCTCCTCCTCGGGGGAGCCCCTCAATTTCAGCCTTACCGTCCAGCTGGCTCTTATGCAGAAGATTTACTTTCTGCTAAACGATCCACTCCCTCGTTTTGACTCGGTATACACCCTCAATTCCTGTCTTCCGATTGACGGATCTGTGTTATGATGGGTTTTTGGTTACGGTACCTACCATATCTCTTATAC